GGGCTGAGGATTTTCAACGTGGTAGCCTCCGGCATCGAATCGGACGTGATGTGAAATGGTTCAGGGTTTACAGAGAACATCCTGTTTTCCATCAAACTTTCACCGCCACTCTCTGGAGGGTTTACGAGAACGGTGCTCCTCTCAAGCTTTAGTGGTATTGATTTTAAATTTGTGTACCACTACTACTGATACGACGGCGACTACTACTCCGACTGCCACTGCTACCCCTGGTTCTGATCCTCCGGCTCCTGCCGCCGAACCTTTCTTCCTGTTGTTCTTCACCAGTGTTGCAGTCGTAAACTTCGGCTTTGCTTACCGGTGCGATGACCCAGACATTCGTTCAAGCGCTGCTGGCATGCTCCTAAAGCTCAAGCTCAAAACCTCAGCGAAACAGCTAAACCCGAAGCCACGAACCTTCAGGGTTTATGTCTGGGGCCTGGATCCGGAACCTTGCAAACTCTGGACCGGAAGCCATAATGAGCTCTGCGCCTCCCACTGCAGCTCGAGAGCGCCATACTCTGTTGACTTCTCAATCTCAACAACCCGAAACCCTAAATGCCTTAAAGATCCAAATCTTGAACCGCGAAGCTATACCACGGCTTGATGGAAGTTTATGATGTTTGAAACCCCTGTGCCTGGCAACCTCAACGCGGGAGATGTCGTCCAGCTCCTGTGACTGCTTCTACAGGGTTTTACAGGCTCTTCATAGGAGCTTCTTGAAGATAGGGGTCCCCTCAAACGGCACTTGTGGTGGTACTTCGGGTCTAATTAGAAGCCCAAGAGTTGGAAGTCCAATAGCCTCAATCCTTAAGAGTAATGTACAGGTGAACCCCGCACTAATTGTCCTTAATCCGCTTTCCAACTTGTTGGGGTTTACTATAGTGATACGGTTGATGATATAAACCCTGCACTACCCATAATAAGGAATATACCACAATCCCCAAGGTTTAGGATGCTTCAGGTAAGGCAGGATTTATACCATCCACGGTAGTGGGGATAGAGGGAGTCTTTGGGTTTGGGCGGTTCAACGATGTGGGGCTCGAATCTGGCGCCCGTGGGGGTTTACGGATTTCGGAGTTCGCGCGCGTAGGGTTCTCAAGCTTTGGGGCAATGATACCCGAACCCCCCAGGTACCTACTATATAGGGTACTAGAGCCCCTGGGGCCCTATATAGTAGGTACCTGGGGGGTAAGGGACAGCAATGATACTATAGAAGGGCAGAAGGGTAGACTTACTGGATTTCGGAAGTTCAGGCTGCAGCAAAGCTGCGCGTCCTTCCTTTCCTGGCGAGTCTCACCAGGTTCAGACTATGCTAACGGTCCTCCGTAGTTTTGGAGCAGTATGCTTCAGAGTGGAGTGTGTTGGTTTATGCTGTGGTCGAGCTGGCGATACGGGCGGTCTTCACGTGACAGCTCTCAGCTGAGCGTCTGAGCTCAGAAACAGGTTGTGCGCCCTCTAAGCTGTCGATGTCCGCACTAGAGCACACAAGCTGACGATTAAGCCGTCCAAGGACACTTATTAGGCTCTGTCCGCACTCACAGACTCAGGTGTCCTTGGCCGAGTACAGATTGCCGTAAAGGCCGGCCAGGACCAAGGCTGGGTATAAGATGGCAGCCATAGGCTCCAAGGCCGCAGGAAGACAGGAAAGCGCGGCAAGTCACCCTAACCTAAGGCGGACACTTTGCACCCAGGACTGCCTCTGAGACCTGCCCGGGCTATGAACAGGGCAGCCAAACCCCATGCAGCTTGTGTACCCTAAACCCTGTCCTGCACCCGATGAGGCTCGCTCTGCTTTCGTGACGGAGTGGTGTGTATGCGTTTGATGCATGAGGCGGATGCAGCTCAAGCTTGTGAGAAGAAGACGCAGCAATCGAGAAAAATCGGGGCTGCTGTACTCCATGAAATGGATCGCCTTACGCTGCATCAGGCAACTTGTCACGTCTGTGACCAAGAGAAGGAAGGAGCCAGATTGTTGTCTCATGTCTCCACTTCAAATGTTCAAAAGTGGCAGCAGCACCAACTAGTAGGAGTGGCAATAGTAGTTATAGTAGAAACAGATGCAGTAATCGTCGTCTTCGTCGTCGTAGGTCGTAGTAACAGGTCGTAGTAGCCCGAGTAGTAGTCGTAGTATTTGTAGTAGTCGTCGTCGTCGTGTCGTCGTCGTAGTAGTAATAGTCGTAGTAGGAGTAGCAGTAGCAGTAGCAGCAGCAGTAGCAATAGAAGCAGTAGCAGTAGCAGTAGTAGCAATAGTAGAGACAGTATTCCTGGCTCAGCCGCTCTCGAATCATCCATGTGTTCCATGTCTCGATCCATATTTCCCGAATATTTGGACATGCTCAATCGCTTTCCTCGCGAATCTCCATCCCTCTCTTTCTGTCTTTCTGTCGTCCTCTCCGCGAAGAGTCTCAGTCAGCACAGTCCAAGTTTAACAACTCTGAATATATCACATGTCTCTCTTGGTTCGCATCCCCTCAGCTGGACGTATTGCCAACTGCAGCTGTTTTCGCTGAGCTCTGTTCGATGTTTTCTCGGTCACACCCAAGCATCAGATGCCAGCGCCCCCTCAAGGGTTCCTCCTCAGAAAGGGGCACCTCCTCATTGGCTCCCGAAAGCACATAGAGAGATGCACCGTTGCTAAGGAGCTTGGTGAACTCAGGCTTGCCATGCTGCCTCAGCGCGGCCTTCACTTGCTTCATCGTCGCCACCTCTGGTAACATCAAGGTCACAGCCTCTGTTGTGAGGACGTTGTGCACGCTAACGGGAACCTGGGCGTAGGAGAGGTTGACCTGGGGATTTTCAAGATTCTCCTCCTTGGCTTCCTTGGCTTCCGGTAGCCCCAGGCCCAGCACCAAGAGCTCTCTCCTCTCGCCCAGGAGCTCCTCGTCGGGGAACTGCTTGAAGGTGTTCCCGGTCCTGTTTACAAGGTTCCTAATCCAGACGTCCAACAAGGATACCACTATACGCTCGCTCGCCTGTCTGTCTCTCTCTCTCTCTCTCTCGCTCTCCGTCTCTGTCTCTGTGTCTGTCCGCCTCTCTCTCCCTCTCTCTCTCTCGTTGGCTCGGCGATGCCTCCCATGATTGTCATGAGGATACACATACATGCATGGGTAAATATACACGAATGTCGTGAACGAACATTGAGATAAGGCGTGTATGAACATAAAAAGAGAATAGTTACATATCCGTATATGAATGCACATACATGCAGCTGTCCTCCATCTATCCGTCCGTCCGTCCGTCCGTCCATCCCTCGAGATGTACGTATGTACGTATGTGTGTGTGTGTGTACACGTATGTATGTATGTATGTATGTATGTATGTATGCATGTATGTATGTGTGTATGTATGTTTCTATGTATCTATGCATATACATATATGCATGTTTTTTACGTGTGATTCTGTGTCTGTGTGTATATACATACATAAATAAATGAAGAACTAGCTGAACACATATAACATATATATATATATACATATACACACATTATGTGTGCGTGCTTACATGTAGACCATAACATAACATAGCATAACAAAACATAACTGAATAAACCGAATAGTACCGTGGAACATAATATATTACAATGCGACAGAATACATTACGATACAATACAGTACAATACCATACAACAACACAGTAGATCGTGGCATATGGTAGTATAGGATAGGATAGGGTAGGATAGAAAAGAATAGGACTTAGGACACTATTATACAAACAAGCATACTACGATAGGCTTTGCTGTGCAATGCAATCTAAGACTATCTACCATCACAAAATAGAATAGAACACGTATGTAGTAATACAAGATAACAAGAAAATGAACTACAACACCACACGAAGTAATATACTACAGTACAAAATAATACAATATCAAACAACATAAGACAATATACAACAATATCATGCATCTTAACACCTTATAATACAACATAATAAACATAATAGCACATATTCAGACAGTAATATGCAATGTATTTTGCAACAATGTAGTACAACATTTTGAAAGGTACTCTACTGTATGCAATTAGAGACACCCGGTCCTCTCTACGAGCTGCATGCGTTGGAGAGCCTCCGCAGTGCGCCCGACGAAGCGAATCAATGCCATCTTCACCTCGAAACTCCCAACAATACGGTTTAGGGTTTAGGGTTTAGGGTCTAACGATCCCCTGCGAAAAGTCTACCTGACATATAGGGGCCTTGCTGATTAGAGCAGGGTTGGGGGATACTGTAGAGTTTACTTCCCCAAACAGCATGTCATGCACTGGGTTTCAATCGCCCGGAAAACCGGATCCATTCACGGGCCACTTTGTGGCCTCGAGGCCTCGACAAGTCTGAATCCCGCCAGTACTTGGGTCTCTGGGTGGTTCTGTTCTGGGTCTCCTAGTGGTCTCCGGCCCCCTAAACCCTAAACCCTAAACGCTGGTCCGTGTGGTCGTGGTTGTCTTTGTCGTCCTTTGGTCGTCATTGTCACCTGCTCTATTACGGTGTTTCGCATCTTATATGTATACATAGGGACACTAAAGGAACATCATTACAGTATTAATTGTTCCGATCCCACAACAGCCTTTCAGATCCTGAAACTCCAAAAGGCTTTAGGGTCCCTTTTTTGGGGCCATAGGGTTTAGGACTTAAGCCCTATAAACCCCAAAACCCTGAAAGTCCGAACTTAGAGGTCTGCTTGTCGTTTTTTGCAGACGGCCCTGTCCTGGAGCATTGTCGCCGCCGGTGGGACGGAAATCAGAGCCTCGCCGGCCCGTGTCCCGTGCCTTACAAGCACCTCGGGGTATCAGAAAAAACCATCGTGAAATGTGGGGGGCTATTATTATTATTACTCTTGTTATATCTTATAATTATGTATAACTGGCTTGCTAAAACCAGGGATGCCTCAAAGAAGGGGCTGCAAGTATCTAAGATCTATGTTGGGCCGGATCTGAGCGGGGGCCAGAAACTTTACGGTCCTTGTCAAATTCGGGGCTTCTGTGTATGGATCAGACTACTTAGATTATGTTAACTGTCTATGTTGGGGTGCTGTATTCTCTGAATCCACCACCTCCACTCTGAGCGGGTCGACCTTGTCCTTTTGCTTGGACCCCGGTGCCGGAGTGACTGGGTCATTCCGCTGAGTGACTGGGTCAGTTCGTCGAGAAGTCTCCGAGTTCCTCGGTGGTGCCACCTTTACAGGCTCCGTCGTCAAGGCGACTTCGGGGACGGCATCTTTGTCCGGTCCTTTCTCCATCTTCTCTAATTCATCCCAGTCCAGCAGTGAATTCTGAGTCCTCGGTGAGCTTATCGGAGCCGGCTTAGAAGATATCTCCTTCTCCTTCACTGCCTGGCTCCGGTGGCCATTGGCTGGCCTTTCTGCAGCTTTGGCTGCAAGAAGGCTGGCAGTGGTGAGCTTGGTGCTGTCGTCGCCATTCCTGACGGGTTCTGCTGGTGTCGGTGCCTCCGTTCCGTTTGCTCTCGTTTCTGAACCGTCTTCTTCGTTACCAGCGTTGGAGGCCCTCGTAACCCATTGCCGCAGCTGCTTCTCCACGATCGGATTCTCCACAGCTGCCTTCACCAAGGAAGATGCCACGGGCGGAAGCTCCTTCAGAGCGGCCTCTGGCAAGCTTGATCTCATGGACGCAGGTGCCGACGCGGGTGCTGGGGCTGAAGACATAGCACTTCCCAGTTGGTCTCCAGCTGTTGCACTTGATGGTGCATCCTTCGGATCAGCGACCTTCGTTTGGCAAGCAGCGACAGCGCACTTCTCAACCCTAAGCCTTAACTACAGTGCTGGCTGCTGTAATATGCGGCCCTGGAATCACTCTCTAGGGTAGACCTTCAAGATCTGCTTCGCTGAAGCCTTGACGTACTGGAGCCTAGCTTCCCGCTTTGTAATTTCGCCTGGACCTGTCACAGTTGCTTATCAAGCGGCAGCACCTCGAAATTCGTACCATGGTTAGCTATGATGGCGGGTAAGTTCCGGCAGTTCTAGCATAACCCTAACCCCCCAGGTACCTACTATATAGGGCCCTGGGGGCTCTAGTACCCTATATAGTAGGTACCTGGGGGGTTAGGGTAGCATCGAAAGACCCACAGTCGTCAGATCCGAGCTGCCTTGCTGCCCACTCCGTCTGGCGGTGGTGTCGCTTCTGCCCTTGGCATTACAGCCGAGAACATAGAACATCAAACACTGAAGCTTGTTACAAAGTGTTGGTGGTGGTAGTAGTTGTAGCAGCAGCAGGAGGAGGAGGAGTAGTAATAGTAGCGTCAGCTGCAGAGTAGCCGAAGCAGTAGCGGTAGCAGTCGCGATATTGATTGCCATAGTGGTAGCAGTACCCGTAGCACAGCGTCAGAAGCAGTAGAAGCAGCACAGCAGCACTCACAGCTGTAGCAGAGCCAGCATCAGCAGCAGCGGCACCGGCAGCGGCAGCGGGTGCGGTAGCGGTAGCAGCAGTAGCAGCAGCAGCAGCAGCAGCAGCAGCAGAAGCGGCAGAAGCGGCAGAAGCGGCAGCAGCAGCAGCAGCAGCAGCAGCAGCAGCAGCTTAAGTGGTTGTAGCAGTGGGGTGACGAGAGGAGGGTGAAGGGCTTACGTTGGTGCTAAGGGGGTGCATGGAAATTGAGATCTGACCGGTTGCACATGGTTTCTTGAAAATCATGACTAACTGCAACCGACAAACCAACAGCAAGCAAAGCAAAGCTTGTCAGCCCAATCTATCGAAAGGCGTCCACTGAGGCGCTTCTGTCTCAGTTCAGTTGTACATGGGAGCCCTGGCGACGGCCAAGGATTGATAATTATGCCAATGCTGATGAATCACGAGTTCTGCTGGCGGTTCTGCTGTTCCCATCCGTCGGCCACCTTCTGGAGGAGGCCGACAACTTCGCGGACACTCTCCTTGCATGATCAGCTTGGTGCAGAGGCGATGAGACTACGCACATGTTTGGCGTTCGGTTGAGGTGCGTCTCGAGGCTGACTCCGTTCACGATGTAGGTTCGAGGCCCACCGCGCTTCACTTTGCTACAGCTGCTGAAACGCAGCATTGCAGCTTCACGAATTTCAAATCCAGGTTGTTGTCAGCAAGCCTCTGTCTTGAATGTGGAGACAAGCCAATGCAAAACACAAGTTCTGCAGCCCCAGAACAAACCTCAACCATGAGGCACGAGTTTCTCAAACAGGCAGTGCAACACATCTCTAGAAGCCTAGACCCCGAACCACTGGACTCTAAACCCTCTCTCAGCCCGAAACCCTAAACCTGCATCCTGAGCCACCAAGCTTCGTATGTCGGCGCATCGGCTGGCCTCTCACTTTCGGCCGCCTCCTCTTTGGCCGGTGCAGCGCCGACCTCAGTGCCGCTTCCCCACCCCCGGGGACACTTAGGGTTGTGCAAGGTTTAGGGTTTAGGGCTTTTGGGGTTTAGGGTTTTTGGGGTTTAGGGTTTTTGGGGTTTAGGGTTTTTGGGGTGTAGGGTTTGGGGTGTAGGGTTTGGGGTTAGCTGAAAGTTTTATCAAGCCAAACCCTGCACCATGTAAACACAACAACGAACCTCTACATCCTAAGCAATGTGAGATACTTGCTCAGACCCATGCTCCGCGTCGAAACTGCTTCAGGTCGAGGATACAATCAAATTACATGTATATCGCGTATATAGGTTAATATAGATATAGATATGTATGTATAGAGAGAACCATTTGTGTGTGTATATATATATATCTATATCTATATCTATATCTATATCTATATTTATATCTATATCTATATCTATATCTATATCTATATCTATATCTATATCTATCTATATCTATCTATCTATATATATGTGTGTATGTGTACATACATTGTACACCTACCTTGTCTCATTTTTACCTATTTACCTACAAGTTTGTTAAAGTATTTATCTGCCTATTCAGATGTCTTTTATTTCTTTGTTCATATAGCTGTTTATAAATGAATAAATAAATACATGTATATATATATATCTATATATATATATAGATATACCAGTCGGGTATTTTTCATAACCCACGAACAATGCAGCTTCCAGATTCGTGCTCATGTCCGTAACTTTCCTATATAAACCCTGCAGCCCCAAACGCATAAGGAGATTCGGTTAGGACCCATAGGGTTTAGGGCCTAGGCCCTAGGGGCTCTATAGTACCCTATATAGTAGGTACCTGGGGGGTTAGGGTATAGAATTATAGCAATTTCCGTGCTGAGGCTCTTTGTTGTGGGCTCCTCTTCTACTGCAGCTACGCGCACGAAAGTGCTTCGGCTGAAAGCGGGGCTGAGGGCTTGTAAGGTCCAGGGAATCCGGCCGAAAGCCCTCACGACTCACGACCGAGACCCTCAACTCTCGGCCCATGAGTCCTATAGTGTAGCATGCTACCGTATCTTACAGCATTGTATGGTAGATTCCCCAGAAGGAACGCGTAGGGCCCTTGCCGCACTTTGCTCCTGGCATGGACTTCAGGGTTGGTGAGGGGGGGTCCAGTGTCATGGGGTATAGGGTTTTGGTCCGTTTTGGTAGCATACAGTTTGCTATGGCCTAATGTCGGAGAACAGCATAGTATGATCGGTTTACTGTCCCGGCATTAAAAGAGCTCTGCATGATCGAAACCTTGCCCTAGTAATTTTACTAGTAGAACAGGCTTTTGGGGGGATACCATCGTACCTTCTGAATAAGAGGTCCTAAGTAAATATAACTATCCTTCTGTCTTAGGTTCGTGGAAAGCTCTTCGGGTTGATCAGTTTCAGGACAAAAAAGGGGCTCTTTGAACATGTGTTTGGCTCCGCCCTCCGTTCACAGTTGCTACTGGTAAAGGGTCAGGATAGAAGTCGTGAAGATATCATGGTTTAGGGTTTAGGGCTTGAACACCCCGAAGACAAGCTATCTTCGGGACGCAGCTCAAACCAACGAGCTACTCCGTCTTCTTGAGGCTATAAGGAAGTCAGGAATCAACGAACAAGTCAAACTGTGAACGCGCTATCCGAAACCTTCGACAACAACGCCAGGACCTCGAACCCGGGATTGTTTTGGCCTGTTCCCCATGTAAACACCATGGGGCTCTTACATTAGGTGCCAAGGTACTTGGCTGCACGGTGGTTCGGCGGCGCAGTGCGCATTTCTGAAAGTAAGGCCGTATTCTTGCCACAGTCCCGCGCTGGCCACGTCGGCCGGCGACGCCGGATTCATTCCACAATCCATACAGTGACGCTCTCGAAGTTGATGAATCAGACTCCCGTGCAGTACCGAGCGTAACATTCGTGTGTTGAGGGGTGGACATCGTGTTCCCGGTACAGTCCCGTGCTCTTTTGGCCATCAAACCAATTGAAATCTCGACAATTTTGGCAGGGCCACAGCAATCGAGTCGACGTCTGGAAGTCCCGCCTTTCCTGGGCGTCTTGGAACTCGTCGGAACTCCCAATCGTGCTCCCGATGCGTGTCGTTTGATTCAACTTGCAAGGTGGTGTGCGTCTTCGACTCGCGGGGGTGATCTTGGAAGCCTCATGGTGCTCGTGGATAGATCTGTAAGGCTTAGAATACTAAGTGCCCTTTCGCTCTTTGGGGTCTACGCTAATTAACATAATCAGCAATAGATCTGAATACCTACTAACTCACCCTAAAATGCTACAAGCCTAAGCTGCGCTTAGCCAAACTCTCGAACTCGCGTCAGTTGGAAGCCCAAAACCACATGCCTCCCAGACCCTATAAACCCTAAAACACCCCAAACCCAAAACCCTAAACCCTCCATCCTGAAACGGAAACCCTAAACCAGTCCTAATACCATGAACATCCGAGAGGAAACCCTGGTCCTGACTGAATCCAGAAGGGCTACACAAAAAAAATGAAGACCTAAAGGACAAAACATGATAAAACCATTAAAAAACAGGATTCTTTAAAAGGATTGCTATAAGAAGCATTATAGAGGGTTTCGTATGGAGGCCCGATGATTTGGAATAGAGCCCTAAAGCACCCCGCCTTGGCTTGCAGCTCCTTGAAATACATCACTGCACTCAGCGCCTGCTGTGCCGAGGCCTGACCAATGCTCGAGCCCAGAAAGCCCAGGACTGATAATATTGGGGCCTTTAATGATGATCGATACCAGTTTGGGGGTTCCTTAATCTAATTATAGCAGAATGGGCCCCAAAACCCTGCTCCAATTATTAAGGGGGATCCGGGGGGTGTGGATGTTGAGCGCGGAATCTCTGGACAGCAGGCCTTGTTCCGCATCAGCATCTCTACCTCCATCCACAGTTCGCACACCTGGCCGGCATGTTTGGCCGCAGGCATAATTCGGGATGTAAGCCGGTATGATTCACCATGCTGAAAGGCTTCACGTCCAATCATCTGGGCCAACAGCTACCACTGTTACATGCTGCGAAGTACAAGGCGCAAATATATCGATGCTTTCCATGCGTCTTGCTTCCGGCCACGACCTGCCATCCCTTCCGCTTGTCGTCTTTAACACCGAAACGCGAAGACTGGGAACAACTTTGTACGACATCACTGCAACTAAATAATAGTAATAATAATAGTAGTAATAATATTAGTCATAATAATAATAGTAATAATAATAATATGCCGGTTGACGATAGTCGATAGGCTCGCGTTCCGTGATTCTACACTGATATGCTTTGTGTCGCCTGCGCATGTCCCAACACGACCAGATACAAACGAAGGGCCGCAATGGAGCCGGAAGCTGGCAAGTCCTAAACCCGGTAAGTACTTTGAACTAATCATCACCAACGAATGAGCAACATCAAAATGACCCTACTTCCCCAACAACCCACGAGAACGATTCCTTTTCCAAATAGCGCTCACTTCAGACACGGACTGCCCCAACCAACAAATGAACACAACGGATGCTACTGGGAAGCTGGTTGTCATTACCTTCACACTGAGCTCGTCATCACCGGCAGCGACAGAAGGAGCAGCAGCATAACTACGATCAGCACAACCAGAAAGTTCTGCCCTTCTCCCTTCCCATCAAACTGCTTCTTCCCTTGCAGCCTGCAGGTTGCTCGAAGAGACGTTGGACATGGCTTCAAGCCTGAAAAGGACCATTTAGAGAGCTTTAGAAAGCGAGAACTCGAGAGTTGGAGAGAAGAGAGGACTGAGTTACAGAGAGAGAGAGAGAGAGAGAGAGAGAGAGAGTTAGGGAGAGAGAAGGCTGAGAGACAACAAAACCTGCATGAAACTACCACTTCCCCTGACCGGCATGACCCCTGCTGCAAACTGTTTTAATTGCAGGGCAGGGTGTCTGCGGCCCGCAATATTCGGGCCATCGGCTAGAACTTACGCACCCTGCTTCAGGTGTTTAGGGAAGGTCCATGGGTAGTTCTCGTTCTTGGCTAAGTGCAAAAGTCTGCTGCAAACAGTGCCATATAGTGCCATGCTTGTAATTGCTACTGTTGCTACGACTCTTGCTAGCCATGCGCGCATGTACCACGACTCTTGTTACGACTCTGCACTATGGCTGATTTCAGCTTCGATGCTTGACGTAGTAGGTAGTACATACACCATACATACGCATACATATATGCATGCTTGCATGTATGCCTGAATTGCCCTTGTGTCTGTTCGGCTGGTTGCGTGTCGTACATATCATGCATGCATACATGCGGAACTTTCAGATCCTACGGTTGATGATATAAATCACGCATTACTGATGGTAAGGAATGCACCATAATAGGGTCCTTAAGGCCATGCAGGATTTATATCATCAACAGTATGACCCCGGATCCCTAAACCCCTGTGATATTGTAAGAACTATAAGTATTACCCCGAGGAGGCTGCATCAGCTTGGGACCATCGAGGTCGTCCATGACGGGCACGTGAAACTTTTGGTAGATCCTGCGGGTTTAGTTGCGTTTTGGGGTTTAGGGTTTTTGGTAGGTCCTGCCGTCCGGCAACCACGGGTTGTGGGAGTTGGCATGTTTCGTATATGGCTGTCATGCAAACGGAAAGACTCAAGGTTGCTTTGGTGGAGGGTTGGTATTCCAGCGGTGCACAGCATTGTGGAGATAAAGCGTGAAAAACATGCAAACAACAGACACAGGAATACTACGGACGCAGAAAGATAAACACTGACCTACTCACATCCCTAAACCCTAAACCCTAAACCCTAAACTTTAAACACCAGTCACACTCTTCTTCTTGCTTGAAACACACCGCCCGTCCTGGGATAAACCTCATGAGCCAGCAGCTGTACCAGCTGGGCCTGCAGTGCTCAAGAACTATAATACACTGTAGTATATAATAATAATAATAACAATAATGATAATATAACAATAATAATAATAACAATAATAATAACAATAATAATATTAATAAATTGTAAAAATAAAGAAGTACATGGTAGTATGCTGTAGTATGCGATTACAGTAGATGCTAGCATAGTCTAGTTGCGGGAGTCTGAATCCTGCTTCTGGCACGGTTGCCTGTACTCTTTATGCCAATCGCAGTGCCGTAACCTCCAAACGTATCAGCTCCCAAAGTCTTCTTACCGCTTATGACACACATCGAACTTCATCTCTCGCGCTATATATATATACATACATACATACATACATGCGGGCACATCACAATGGTCTCGAGTTTTGGGACGAGGATGCCCTGATTAGACTGGAACCCGAAACCTTACCCCAGATCCTGAGGTCTGGGGTTTCATAGGCCTCAGGAGGATACCCGACCACCCCTGCCACGACTCTACGACGGTTCCGTCGACACTTCCGAAGTTTAAGGGCCATGCTAAGAGACCCTCACCCCAAACCCCAAACCCTCAATCCTAAGCTTGCCAAAGCGAACAGAAGAACCTGAAGCTTTCACAGAAGGCCAAGCTCCGGGCTCGGTAATCGTGCCCAGTGCCCTTTGCTGTTGACTCGAAGTCATCCAGGCGCTTTTGGTTCTCCGGGTTCCGGAAGAAAGACCTAGCAAAACAAGCTTTGCTGCGGTGGTAAGAGGGCTATCCTTACGACTTCGGCAGAGACTAATCGCAGGATTAGTTGTTGCTCGTAGTATAGCAGCATCTGTAGCGAAGCAGCAGCAGTCGCCGTAGTCACGAGCTCGCCGCCTTCGACGCAGTAAGAGAAGGACTAGAAGTACGACTGCAGTCGTAGCAGTGGTAGTAGTCGTCGTCGTCGTAGGAGTAGGAGGAGTGGGAGTGGGAGTAGGAGGTGGAAGTGGAGTAATAGTTGCAGTAGCAGTAGCAGCAGTGCAGTGGTCGTGAGAAGGAAGAGCCTCGTGTGTCCTAGGCCGCCGTCCTCCATCCACCGCTCAGGAAATGGCAAACAGGAGTAAAGCGGACCACGGCCGCCATTGGTTGAAGCGGTACAAGATATTCTCACTAGCATAATCAGTCCGAGTGGGTATCAGCATCAAGACGCATGGCCCGAAAAATGCACCGTGTTGGCTCAAACTATCTTGAGGAACTTTCACTGGTTACGACACGTTGGTATAAGTGTTTTCTGATGACTGTTGACGGCGTCGCGGCCCAATAAACAAGAATATGTGTAGACTGCTGATGAAACGAAGGGCTAGCTGTAGGCTCGCTCTCATTAGTACAAACTCAGTCCGGCACATGACATGTCTCGCAACCGGGACGAAACAAACATGTCCAGGCCGCCGCATGAAGCGCAACACGATGGCGCACTGCTTGTTTGTGAAGCGCCTCAGATATCACACTTGTGCAAGACGGTATCAAAATGCGAGCAAGGGTATTTCACAATCAATCATACTATGAATGTGAAGTCTTATATTCTTGTGCCTGACAACCCGACAAGTTCATGGGGCATCTGCTGCAACTCATCGGCCATTTTGGTCTACTAGCTCATGAGGAATCATAAGGCGGCCAAGGCAAGGAGCAATTTCAAGCGGCACAAGGGGCCACGCTTCAGACAAGGAAGAAACGTCTGAGGGCAAGACTGACTCTGAACTCTAGTAGTTGAGCCGCGCACATGTAGAAACTCCGTGATCCGCGGAAGTCGGACACGACGACTTCATCCGGCACTTGGTCCTGGGTGCTTAATTTCAGCCCTTGTGAATATTGTGAACTGTCAAACATTGTCAAACAGCCCCACAACCCAAGCGGCGAAATGCCAAGCCCTCAAAGGAAATCAGCACAAATCATGAATTTGAGACTACACTGACGCGCACACAGGCCTACGTAATTACCAAAGTGAGAAAGGCCGGTATAGACTTCAAATTGCCTGAACCCAAGCCACAAATTCAAATCCTAAGCACAAAGCCCCAAACAATACACCCTGACTCCAAACAGCTTACAGAACCCTTATAATTGGCCCTTATAGCAACCCTATTCTATCAGCCCCTATGGGGCCTAGACCCTAAACCCGCATAACCCCCCAAAAAAAACTCCCTACCCATAGGCCCCTAAGTAGTTCCCTTTTCGGGATTACCTTATAGGATTCTAAACATGAGCCACAAAAAGGAACTACTTAAGGGCCTATGGGTAGACCCTAACCCTAAACCCCTAAACCCCTAAACCCCTAAACCCCTAAACCCCTAAACCCTAAACCCTAAAACCGAAGCTGAAACCCAAAGGCCTGTGGGTTTCAGCCCCATTCTCTCTTCAACGAGGGCCTGGCCGTCTCTTGCAGGGCCTGGATGTCCCGGCCCTCCCGTTGCCAGAGAACTCGGGCCTGATAAGGGCAGGGTGGCTTTAAACTATAGGGTTTAGGGTTGCCCTTACCCCCCAGGTACCTACTATATAGGGCCCCAGGGGCTCTAGTACCCTATATAGTAGGTACCTGGGGGGTTAGGGTTAATTAGGGGTTTAGGGGTTTGAGGTTTAAGGGTTTGGGGTTCAGGGCTTAGGGGTTTAACAGGCTTCTGGGGTTGTTCAGGCTTTTTGGAGCTTTGGACGTTAGGGAGCTGGAGCATCCGGGGCTGCTTCTCAGCTGACTAGCAGGCAGGATCTTGCTGCAGAGAATCAAGCCGAGAAAAATTTGCCGCAAGCTCATCGCATGACTCAGACGAAGCTGAGTCGCGCTAGCAAGGAAGCTGCGCAAGAAGGACCGTCGCTTTAATCTAAGATCTGCGACTAAAGCCGGCAAGTCATGGCGACGTTAGATTCCAAGCGCATCCGAGATCGCGAGCCTCCGCGGGCAGGTGCCGTCCCAGAACCCATCTCAGGTCCACCACGGTGGCGCCTTTCCTGGGCTCTTCGCGCGGATGCAAGCAGTTTGTGCTGACTTCGTGCACGTGTAAAGCTTACGTCGTGATGCAACCAACTTGACGGAGTGATTTCGAAACTGTCATCATTTCGTGTCATGACCAGAGCGAAGTCCGCCAAGCGGCCGAAGCCAAACACCGAAAGATTGCTTTGCCGCGAAGAACTTCTTCACGGTCGAGCTCTGGCAGGTCACACCTCTGCAGGGCTCACTTCCCTAAAAACAGAAAAAGGACACGCCTTTTTTTCTGTGTGCTCCGACCGTCGCGATGTCGCTCTCGGAAGATTCGGACGTGGTTCTAACAGGCATTTGGGGTTTCAGGTTCACGGTTTCCGTGCGCAGCTGCGCTGCTCTCCACGTCAGCCGTCAAACACGGTGCCCACAAGCACTTCAGAAAGTTAACTCTCATGAAAGGAACTTGTGCCTTGCTGCATAAAGAGTTATAATTAGTAGAATAGAGAGAGCAAAGATAACGAGATGCACGGACGTCGCAGCAAGACCACGAGCCATTAATTAAGTTTTAATGCAGAAGTGGCAGTATTGAGGGTGTATACCTTCAGTACTTAGTCCTATACTTCCAGCGACAAAGCTGGACGAGACAAGCCTACCGCTACTTATGACGGCGGCGCAAGCAGTCGCCTGTCACAGCCGTTGTTGATGGCTGCTGTTGCTTGTTTCGTTTCTTGTGGTCGGCCGTAGCTGGTTGCTGGTTGCCCTTGCCTCTGCTGCGCGGCTGCGAGTGTTGTTCTTGCTGTTGTTGTTTTTGCTGCTCTTGTTGCTGCTGCTGCTGTTGCTGTTGTTGTTGTTGGTGGTAGTGGTGGCGGTGGTGGCGGCGGAGGCTGCTTCTTGCTATTCTTTCCAGAGCCCCTGAACATTGGGAGAAGTGTGGGCATGGCGTTGTCTTTACACGACGGGAGGCACTGACAGAAGCAGCTTTTCGCAGGGGCAGAGTCGGCCCGACGCCACGAAGCTTGGCAGCACCGGTTTGTCATCATTGCCTGCCTTTTTAGGGCTGATATAGGACCTGCTAGGAGCACTCCGATTCTTCCTTCCGCGACTTTGGGAAACATAGGCAAAGGGACGGATGATGACGACGACGATGGTATGTCGCTTGTGATGTTGATTACTAAGAGTTGGATGAGTGCAGCGTCAAAACTGAAGTACTCACATTCCTCAGGATTCCGCGGGTCACGAAGGACAGCTGGCTTTCCTGCCGGGCAAGTTTCTGGCTTCGTGTACTTACATCATGGGTTTTAGGTGTTATGTAAGGCTTCAGGGTGATAGACTTACGTCTTGTCGTAATTTAGTGCTTCAGGTTCAGGGGTTAGATATTTCGGGGTTTGATCTTCCTAGGTCCTGGAACATAACTACGGCAAAACGTATGAGGTAGTTGTGGTTACTTGCTGGGCCTGGAAAGCAAACTAAAATCGACCTTGTAGCACATGGCATGATATGAGATACTTGGGGGGGCTCAGCAAGGCCTAAACCCTAAATGCTATCATTACGGGGCCAAGGTGTGGCATCTTGACCTTTTGGGGACTCTCGAGATTTGGTGGAGACTCCGCCAACCCGGAATCTGCGACTTCAAACCCCCCAACCTGCTCCCTGGTTACATACACCATATTATAGATCATATGATATATCATATTATGTAGGATATTATATAAGATTGAATATCGTATTATAGATAAAAAGTGAAGACACCCGCAATCTCGGATCTTCCCCCCCCTCCCCC